TCCTAGGCAGCCGGCCAGTGTTTTGTTTATGTCAGCAGTAAAATGCGATCCTTGATCGCTTTCAATGATACATGGAGGACCAAACCTGGGTATAATTTTATTAAGGAGTATTTTTACTATTAGTTGTGCTGTAGCTCTTCTGATGGGGAAGGCTTTTACCCACCCCGTGAGTTGGTCAATAATTACTAGGAGGTTTTTGTATCCATTGTTTTTAGGCATCTCAGCAAAATCTATTTGTAGTCTTTTAAAGGGAGTATAAGCCCGGGGGTGGGCTCCAGGGGGTCTTGATTTTTTTCCTTTGATATTAAACTTTTTGCATATATTGTAGTGTTTTAAAAGCCTTTTTGCTTCCTGGTAGACTCCGGGTGCGTAGAACAGCCTGTTAGTGATAGTGGCAAGTTTTTCACAACCTAAATGCTCGCTTTGATGGAGCTGTTGTAGATAGGGTCTAAGGGCTGCTTTAGGTAGCACTATCCTTTTATCTGGCAATCGCCATATTCCATCTTTTTCACAGGTGGCTTTTGCCGCTTTTTATCTCTGTTGTTCTAAAGGTGGTGCAGACTCGTTAATTATTGTTAACCTGTGTTAACAATAATTCAAGCTTTACAATAATTCGGAATTTATTGTAATTATTGTTAACCTAACAGTATGCTATCAGAAAACTATTCTATTTCAGGGTAATAACAAACATGCTCACCACACTACCACCCAAGGAGGCCCCCTGCCCTGCCCCAGGGGTCCAGGGCTAGGGGCATGGCAGCGTATCCAGGAGGGATCTGGACGAGTCAAGCACCCCCTGTAGGCCACAGGGGAGGAAGGAAGAGCACCCCCCGCAGGTTGGGGCAGGACCCAGTCTCTGCTGCCCTTTGTGGGGAAGAGAAGTCCAGGCCAGGTGCCCCCATGAGCTGTGGTCAAGCCGAGGTATCCTGTGCAAAGCGGCGTGTCCAACAGAGGTGACGTCCAGGCAGTGGCTACATCCCAGACTCCTGCCGCAGCCCCTGGGGAAGACAGAGCCATGAGGGTGGAGGGAGCAGCCCCCACACCCCTGTCACTACCCCATTCCCCGCCAAGCCTCAAGCTTGGGAATCAAAGAAGAGAACCCAGGCCTCTGGTTCCCTGCTCCCCCTGCCTTGCTCCAACCCACTTCCATCCCAAAAACAGGGGAGGGGCAGGGGGAGGTCCCCCAGCAGCCAATCCCACTGGCCAGGGGGGAGTCCCCCACATGGCCGATCTCACTCACCATAAAAGCTTCCGCTTTTGCTAACAGCCCGCTCCCCAGCCAGCGCTTGCACTGGGGGCACTGGCGCTCCCCCCTGCCCGCCAGCTAAACAGGGAGTATGGCCTAACAGGGGGTGCACCAGCACTCTCAGGGGGTTCATGTGCACCCCCATGCATCCCCCCATGCGTCGCCCCTGCTCCCACCTGGCTCAAAGTCACCCCCACTTCCCCCCACCACAGCTGGGAGGGAACCCAGGAGTCCCAACTGCCCTTACTGGGGCATCTCAGCCTCCCACTGGGGGCAGGGGGCAGGCAGGTGTACTTCCCTGCCTGATGTTGGTGATGTCAGAGGGGGCTGGGTGGGCACAGCATGGGCCCTGTTCAACTGAGTGGTGTTGGGGTGGCCATGCTGAACTGCGTGGTGCTTGGGGTGTCAGGGGGCTGTGGGGGGTGAGGTGGGGGGTGCACTCACCCTGGTGCTGTTGGTGGTGGAGAACTCAGAGTATTTGCTGTCCCTGCGGCAGACCTGAAAGCAGCGGCAATATTCATCCCGCACCTGGGGGAAGGGGCAGCCATTAGCAGGGGAGGAGGGAGCAGGGGCACCTCAGTGGCTGTTAGAGCTGTGAGTGACTCCTGCCCCAGCACCAGGTGCTGTGGGAAAAGGATTTGGGAGGTGGAGGAGGGGAATGGGTGGGGCAGCAGCAGGCCGGGGTGGGGGAACCGGGGTGGAATCAGGGAGACAGGAGCAGACCAGAGCTCCCAGGGGAGATATTTGGGGGAGGGGGGAGAAGGGGAGGATTGAGGAAGGCAGGAGTAGGCCAGGGGGATCCTGGGGGAGGTACCAGGGGGTATTGGGGGGCCAAGAACGGACTGAGTGTGCTGGGGTGTGTTCAGAGCCATGGGTGGATGTTTAGGGATGGAGGGGACAGAAGCAGGACAGGGTTGTTGGGTGGCTTGTGGGGTGGGGAGGGTTGTAGGGGGGCAGATCAGGCCAGTGGAGGGGCAGACCTGCTTGTTGAGCAGACAGTGCAGCAGGAAGATGCCAAATCCCTGCAGCGCGTTGAAGATGGTGAAGGCGTAGGACAGCACCAGAGTGTGTGGCCCAAACTGGAAAAGCCCCAGCACCCAGCCCGTGCCCAGCACACACAGCTGCGCCAGCCCCGTCACTGTTAGCACCCTGCCATGGAGGGCACCAAGTCAGCACCTGCCACTCTTCCCAGCACCTGCCCTCACCCCCAGCCCAGACCCACCTCCCACCAGGCAGTAGCTGTCACCATCAGCCCAGTCCTGCCCCCACTGCCCAGGATGCCCAGCCTGCTCCTGCCCTCCTCCCTATTCCCCTTCCCTCACTGTTACCCACCACCCTGGGGCCATGGCCCTGACCAGCAGCTGCCTGCTAGGGCACCCAGCACTCAGCTTAGCACCCACTGCTGGCACCCGGCCCCTGCCCCCTCCAGGTACCGGAGCTTCTTGAGGCAGCTCATGTCAGGGTTGATCTCATTGAACTTCTGCGCCAGCTTCCACACGGTCACTACAAAGATCCCAGCATTCACCTAGGGGGACAGAAGGCATGGGGGGGCAGCCTGGAGGCAGGGCCATGCCAGCAGGAGGGGGAGGCCATGGGGGGCAGTACAATGGAGGGGGCGGGGCATTCACCTGAGGGGTGAGGGTGGGATAAACGATTGTGGGGGAGGAGGAGGAGCAAGGCCAGGCATGAGGGTGGGACAGAGCCAGCAGAAGGCAGGTCATTCAGGAGCCAATGAGGGTGGAACTTGCCCCCCACCCCCAGGTCACTGGTCTCAGCCCTTGGAGTGGGACAGATGGACAGACACACCAAGGGACCGGGGAGTGACCCCAGACAGACAGACTCACGGTGATGATGAGGCAGACGGGGGCCAGGAAGCTCCAGAGGAAGTCGTGGTCTAGGGAGAGCCAGCAGCTGTGGCGGGGAGGACAGGGAATCAATCCTCACCAGCCACCAGAGTGCGTCAACCCCTCATGCAAGCTCATCAGCACCCCACATTGGTCCCTGTGCACACACACCTTGCACCAGTGCAGGGGAGGGTCTTTCATGAGCAACTCCACTGTAAGCCCCGTCCCTGTGCAACACAAGGGATGCAAGCCCCCGCCCCCATGCACCACCAACACGTACATGCACAGATCTGTTGCAAGCCCTTCCCCCATGCAACACAAGTGTATGTATGTACGAGAGGAGCAAGCTCCACCCTTGTGCATCCCCCCCACACACTTGTGTTGCACAAGCCTGGTGCAATCACCACCTGAACCATGTGAGTTCACACTAGTGGAAGCCCTGCCCCTGTGCATTGCAAACATGTGCATAAGCCTGGTATAAGTCCCACCCCAGCACATCACTGATGTGGGCCTCCATGAACCTGGTGTAAGCCCTGCCCAGTGCAACATAAATGTGGGCATGCATGCACTAGTGCAAGCCCCACCCCTACGCACTACCAATAGGCACATGCATGAGTCTCAGCCCTGTGCTACACAAGCCTGCACACATATGCTAGTGCAAGCCTTGCCCCCATGCAAGCTCTGAACCTGTACCACACAAAAATACACACACCTTAGTGTAAGCCCCAACCCATGGAATTAAAGCATGTGGGGACACACACTAGTGTAAGGCCTGTCCCTGTGCCACACACAGTCACACATATGGTATTACAAGCCCATCTCTGTACCACACAAATATGTGCACACATGCTAGTGCAAATCCTGCCTCCATACTACATAAGCATATGTGTAGTAGTGTATGTCCCACTCCCATGAAATACACATACACAAAGTAGTGCAAGCCTCTCCCTATATCACACAAGAATACACATGCAAAGTAGTGCAAGCCCTGGCCCCATGGAATACAAGCATGCACACACACTAGTGCTAGCCCCACCCCCATGCCACCCAATCACACAAACACTAATCCAAGGCTCACTCCCATGCCACAAAAGCATGGGCACATGCTAGTGCAAGTCTCACCCCATTCCACCCAAGTATGCATACATGCACACATACAAACACACTAGTACAAGCCCTCACCCTGTGGAACACAAGCGCACACACACACTAGTGCAAGCCCCTCCCCTACATACTGCAAACATATGCACAAGCTTACTACCCTCATGCCCATGAACTCATGCAAGCCTGGCCCCTGCCCCAACTCACTGGCGCTCAGTGCCATAGCCCTGGGGGAAGGCAGCAGCCGAGATGGCCACAATGAGGGCGGGGGGCCCGTATCCAGCCAGCAGCAGGTAGCCACGCTTGAAGGATGAAGGCTTGAAGACATGCACAACCAGCACGTAGAGTTCAGCTCCCTCCAGGCACATCCAGCAGAAGGCAGCCAGGAAGGCATAGTGCAGCAGGCCTGCCACCACCGCACATCCCACCTGGGGGGTGGGGAGCAGGAAGTGGGGGTCAGGGCTGGCTAGGGGGACACAGAGCCCTGCTGCCCCCCACCCCCACCCGAAACCAGCTGGGCCCTGATCCTCCCCACCCATGGGGCAATGAGTGGGGGGGGGAGGAAGAGGGGAGGGGACCAGCAGGTGGTGCCGTGGGGCTGGGGGGGGCAGAAGCAGGGAGATAGGCAGATCCTAGCAAGGGGGTACTGGAGGGGGCTTCTAGATGCTCCTGCCCTAGCAGGAGGCACTGCAGTGGGCAGATCCCAGCACAGCTGGGGAGGTGAGGGAGAAGAGAGCTCCAGGCTGCTCCAGCCCCAGCAGGGAGGGCCATGAGACTGGGGGGGGCGGGGGACAGTCCCAGCACAGGGAACCATGGCAGCGCTGTGGGGTTGGGGGACAGGAACTGGTGGAGGGAGGCAGATACCAGCACGGGGTATTTGAGGGAGGAAGAATGATTCCCGGATGTTACAACCCCAGTGAGAGGTGCCATAGGGGTGGGGGGCAGGAGCTGACTGCAGAGGCCCCCAGTGGGGGGTGCCATGGGGCAGGAGCTGGGTGGGGGCAGGGCCTAGTGGAGCTGTGCCCTCTAGTATCTCAGTGTCCCCTGTATCTTTCTGCCCCATAGTACCCCTCTACCCCCAGGTACCCTCCTGTCCCCTCTATGTACCTGCCCCTCTGCAGCCCTTCTTCCCCCTATACCTGCCCTCTAGTACTTTCCTGCCCCCTCCAGTACCTCCTTGCCCCCCAGGCACCCTCCCGCCCCATACCTTGCTGTGGGTGTTCTCAATGCCCAGCAAGAAGAGGCTGTGGGCCACCAGCAGGCTAAGGCTGAGGTGCAGGTGGATGGTGGTGCGGGGACCACGCAGGGACCGGCACAGCAGAAAGGTGAGCACAGCCAGCGTCAGGCACAGCACGGACACAGCCAGCCCCACGCGTGACACCACATCCAGCCGCCAGTCCTGGGGAGGGGGCATGGGTCAGGAGCACCCCTGGTGGCTGAAGGGGAACTGCAGCCTGGGGGCAGCCCTAGCAGCCACAGTGGGTGCTGCAGGCTGAGAATAAGGAGGGGGAGGCACAGCTCAGGGGCTACTGGGGAAGTACAGCCTGAGACATATGGAAGTGGGGATCACCACTGGCTGAGGGGGAGCGCACCAGGCTCAGGGAAACCTCTAGTGGCAACCTGGAGAACTTCAGGTTGTGGCTTGAGAGGTGGGGGGTCGCTGCTCAGATAACAAGGGCCCCCAGGTCTCTGCCCAGCATGGCGTGGGGCAGAGGAGCGGGGACTGGTAGGTTGGAGCAAAGGGAGCTCAGACACCTGGGTTTTTTCCCAGCTTGGGGAAGGGAGTGGGGTTGTGGGGGTGGGATTGAGAAGAGGGATGGCAGTGGTGGCACCTAGACACCTGGGTTCTCTCCCTAGCCTAGGAACAGATTGGGGCCTGGTGGATCAGTGCAGGGGAGTGCTGGGAGCCTGCACACTTGGGTTCTCTCCCAGCTTCAGGAAGGGAGAGGGGTCTGTGGGTTGGTTTGGAGCCAGACAGAACCTAAAGACCTCTGAGGGAGGCTACGGAGTTCTTCCACCCCCTCCTCCTGCCTCGGTTTCCGCCATCTCCCACCTGACCCCTGGGGTTGGCATGGGGAGAGGTCACCCACCTTGAGCTCATAGAAAGCCATGAGCACAGCGAAGCTGGTGAGGTGGTCGCAGATGCACTCAGTGGGGGAGCCAGAGGCCGGGGGCTGGAGGAGGTGGCAGCCCTGCGTGGACCAGTGCCCACCTGCTCTGTGGGGCTCCCAGAAGGCACACAGCAGCTGGAAGAACAGCTTCTTCTCCTGTGGGCACCCAGAGGCCGGGGTTGGGTTGGACAGGTGGGCAGCAGGACCCTGCCTTTTCCCATCCACTTCCAGTCCCCATGCTTCAGTTTCCCCACAGGCTTGTGACAGCACATCTGACATATAGAGAAGAGGTGCACGGCGATGGAGACCTGGGGACGGCGGGGGGTGGTCCTTACCTGCTGGGCACAGGTTGATAGGGGCCGGGGAGCAGGGCAGAGGGAAGAGAGGGGAAGTCCCACAAGGATGGGATGGGGGGGGTCAGGGGTGAGGGCGCTATCCCAAGGAGGATCAGGGGGGTAGAG